GGCGATTGTCCTCCCGCTCCTCAAACAGACCCAAATCGGCAAATTTGGACGGAATTCACAATACTAACGAGAACAAACAACTACAACACTTCGAGTTCCTCCTATCTTCGATTAGAGGACCCCAACGTGTATTCAACCGCAGAAGCCCGTCGAACTGGCAAAACAATTGGAGCTTCGACATTGATGAGAACGCAGGTGGGATACCTGGCCCTTAGTCTACTCACAGCACCTGTATGGAGTTTCCTGGCACAACTACCCGAGTGAGTAGCATCACAAATAGAGATCTGGATATGTAAGCGGGTCCTGGGTCATCAGTTTGGATAATCCTTTGGAATAAGTGATATCGTGGTATTTAACCCATAAAGAACACAATAAATAAATTGCCAATTTAAAATACTACGTATATCCGCATCGGATTTGGTCTTCAGGTGAGTTGCCACTCACACAGCTCCAAAACAATTGCATACAAAGACCCCACGATGTTGCTATGCTTTTGAGTGGGCTCAGTAACATCTTCAATCGAGTATTGTTGGACCATCGCAGTAATGTCTTCCAACGTCGGATCAGGTACTGTTTGCTTTTGGCTCTTTTTGGGAGGTGGAAGGACGACTATCGCGTTGTTCATAAACTCACTCAGGAATGCGGCAGCCGCTCGCATCGCGGTATCGTTCAGCCACGCATCACTTCGTAAACAGTACAGGTCGGAGTAGAATAGATCAAGCCAAAGCCTTTAATAGATGTACTTGGCCATGTATACAACATGTGTGTAGTAGCGTTGCTTGTGGTTGAGCAGGCCCCCAACGTTCGGCTTTACATCTTAACTTAGCCATGTGCAACATAGAACCGCGTTGCGACTCACGTCTTGTATATCCCACAGCTACTGCATCGCTTCCAACTGATCTCTTTTGAATTCTACAGCTTTTTAATAGAAACCACAATACATCCTCTGCTTGTCCCTGCTCGCCGTCGCTATTATTTTCTATCTCTTCTTTCTTTGCCAATCCTGACCGTAGCTTTGTCAAAGCGCCAGCTACCACAGATTCTGGAAGGCGATACCGGATATTTTTTAGGTATAAAGTCTGGACCTACACGCCACTGGATAATTTTGGCAGGAAGTTTTGTTTTTACTTGCAAAGTCACCAGATAGAACTCAAGCTCGTCCACACCAGGCTTTATCTCCATTATAGTAGCGACAATATTACAAACATTCGTGTCTCGTAGCAATCCTCTCAGTTTCATACTCATTCAAAGCAGCTTTGGCTTTCTTTTTTTTTTTATCTCACCGCGGTTTGGTTTTGGAATGCCCACACGTCTGATATCACCCGTGAGCTTTATCTGCAAAGCTTTGTTTCTGGATGTAGTCGCATCATTTGCATGTGATTGATCCTCGGACGCCGGTTTCGATGACCTAGTCGACGCCACGCCGTCGACTGACCCACTAGACGGCTCCGCAAGATCTCCAGTGTTACGGCTAATTCCACCAGGCATTTATTTGGATGTGCATCCACCGCCTGTGCCTTCATCGTCATCAAACTTTTGCGATGATGACACTACCGGCTCAATCTCCGCTCGCCCGTGGCGCAACTTGTGCCACCGCTGGTCAAAGACCGACAAAGCTCGCTCGAATGTATCATCTGGAAATCGAACTAGCTCGCCGCTGATCCGTCCGAATGCTTGTTGAATGCGACGATATTTTTCAGGCTCGCTAAGGCGTCCGTCGCTGTTATTAGCGCTGGTTTTGCCGCCACCCAACGAGGCATCATGCCTAAGGCAACGTTCAATTCTTCAGAGTATGAACCTCTCGTAGCGTGTCGGGCATCTCGACCCTAGCACAGTACTCCTCCTCTACATGATCTTGGTACTTCAAAAGAGCCCTGAGACTCGCCTTCATCAATAGATGTTCTTTCAGATGTTACTTTAATTTGCCAAACAGACTTTCCACTCGGTTGTTTGCATGTTTTTTTTTCATAGTGAGGTAGCGATACACGATGCGCCAGTACCCATAGCCCACAGCACGCATCCCAGTTTGTTTGGAAGTGATTCCACAGGTCCTGACACCGGTCCTTCGTAGATAAACTTTCAAATTCATCACGATGTGTCTTGTAGTCAGCCTCCGTTCGTGAGTACGTCATGTTTGATATTGTATGTTTCATCTGAGTTATGGCGTCTTCTTCGTAGGCACCATTTTTTTTCGATCTCGAATCGTATTGTGTAGCCACTTAATCAGTTGAAAGTGACATAGAAGTGCACGAGCTTCCGGCAATTTCTTACGGGTTATGTCCACCACTTGCAAGTCCTTGTCGACAATAACCTTACGAACGAAACGCCAGTGCTTGTTGGCCCTCTTGAAGTGGTCCATGCACTTCGCCATATGCCAATCCGAATTCGATTCGATCAGTGAGTACTGCACGGGCTGACAG